TCTTTATTCAATATCATAATTATACTGGTCTATCTTTCCAATCCAACGCACCAGTTGTCCCTCTGAGTTCTTTAATGATATTAACCAGCGTAACGTAGCATGGTCTGTCCTGATGATAAACCTTGCACCATAGAGGTAAGGATAGAAATATGTCAGACTCTTTACTATAGCAAGGAGTTGCCTCCGTGTTACACAGTAGTTCCTCTCTGGTCTACTTAAAACCCTACTGAAGTAGGCCACCACATGTTCGTTTTCGCCCACTTTCTGAAGACAACACTCCTCCAATTCCGACATTACTAGCATCACAATCCAGTATGTATGGCAGTGAAGGATCTGGAAGCTTTAAAAGTGGAGCTGAGGCCAATTTTTTTTTCAATGTCTTGAAAGCATGCTGGCAAGAAACTGTCCATTCAAACTTCTGGCCTTTTTTGGTCAAATCATGTAGTGGAGCAGCTATGGTTGCAAAGTCCTTCACAAACTTCCTGTAATAGGTACAGAGTCCCAAGAAACTTCTTAACTCTCCCACATTGTCTGGTGTTGGCCAATCACGCACTGCTTTCACCTTGTCAGGATCAGTTCGCACACCAGGCTCACTTACAATGTGACCCAAGTAAAGCAACTCTTTGTGGAACAAGTGGCATTTCTTGGGATGGAGTTTAAGGTTCACTGCTTTCAAATGCTTGAATACTTCCTCTAGCCGGGACATTTCCTCATCAAACGTTGTTGCAAACACAATGACATGATCCAGGTACACTAGGGCTATCCTCCATTGTAGGCCTTCCAGTACTCTTTTCACCATCCTCTCAAATGTTGCTGGAGCAACACTCGGACATTCGCGAGGTTCCTCGATAAGTCATGATCCTTCTAGAAACTCCAGCGTCGCGTGACTTCCGCTGTCGTAACATGATGTTTAGCATACATTATTGTGAACATTAACATTAAAGAGTATTAAATTAAACTTACTGATGGGATCCATATTTTTCTGATAGTGCAATTGCATGAGACATGGCTTTAAAAATAGGGTTTTTTCTGTTTTTGTTTTTTTTTTGTTTTCTTGGTTGTCCTGAGTAAGAATCTGATGGGTGGCGGCATCCTTGAGCATTTTTTATAAAGATACACATTTAAAAAAATCGCAATAGTCGTCAAATGTCCATTTAAAGATTATTATATTCATTTTTTTAATGATTCTTTCTTGATGTTAATGTTTTAAAACATATAGCATTAAAACAAAATTCTTTTGTGGTCATTGGATAAATTTAATTGTAATCTCTACCATACTGTTTCAATTCACTTGAACTTGAATTTAAAGTCAATTTTTTAAGAATTGTGCTTAGATTTGTTTGTTTAGAATTAAGCACAAAGCTACACAATGGGCTATGTGTGCTCTGCTCACCACGGATATCGAAACCCGGATTCTAGCGTTGTAAGCCCGCAGACACACCGCTGTGCTAGTGGGGGCTTTTGCTTAGAATTTTATATCTTTATAACAATTTTCTTCACAAAAACTTTCACAAGTCACATGAATAACACATGTAAGATGAAAAGAATAATGTCAACAAAGACACCACGGGTATTTTTATTAATAAAACGTATATGTGCACAATCGTCCAATCAGTGTGAAATAAACTATATATCCTTCTAAACACAGCTTTGCACAATAGCATGTCCTTTGATCATGGTTTGAAAGGCTTCACTTAAAGGGTAATTTTTATTCCTTTAGAAAATTAAATTAATAAAAATTGCTTCTGAATGTTTTTTTTTAATTGCACTCGAAAAGAAACTCGATTAGTGCTGGATCAGAAAGAATTCGTAGCATACTCAGTGCCAATGAAGAACGTGGAAATGACTTTCATCAGACTTTTACAGAAACGCTAGTTGCTGAATCAAAGTTACATACAAGATATATTGAAAATTGGGATCGTTAAAAAAGTAAACAAACAAGGCTGGAAATAATGTAGACATTATTTACTCAAACTACAAGCCCCTATATTCGCTCCATGTTGTTACCTAGAATTGAATTTGTTGGAGTCAAAATAGGAATCTCTGTAAACTCTAAGAAAAATGCAATAAACTTTCACCGAATGTTCCGTCTATCACTTTATTCATTTAGATATACGACTAATGATAAAAAACAACATACATAAAACAACGATTCAAATAAACATTCGTGTGATTTAAAGTAATTATTCCAAATGTATGTAATAAAATTTAACATTATATACATTGTTTTTTTGTTTTTGTTTCTTCACTTCATATATAATACAGTGTACAAAGCATTGAGTATCTACATGTTACACTCTCTTGATGATCATCTAGTATTGGCTGGTAATTCCTGTTTCACCCTGTACTTAAGTTTTTTAAAGGAACACCAGATATTTGTAAGAAAGCTAACTTCAAGGGATAATGATAACTTCATTTACACTAGAATTATGATGTTTTTTAGCTTATATAAAATATGGAAGAAACAAGTCGACTTTTCAATACCCCTACAACCTTCGCAGTACCTTATTCAGTACTATACAAAAGGTGTAATACATTATACCACGCCGTTTTGTTGTAGGCTGGCAAGAGAATAATAATAATAATTACAAATGGGCCATTTTGAGCAGATTTTCTTTCCCTTGTAAATCTAACATGCATGCTTTTTTAGTGCATTTTTATATGTGTACAGCCTTAGCAGTCAATAGCAAAGGTTTTAAAGTGTTGTTTGGGCTGAATCTTTACTGTTCAAGGTGCTTTTTTGCCCGAATGTTTTATTAGGGTTTTGTGCAATTTCTTGCGAACCCTATTATGAACCACGATAGTGGTTCATGATAGATCGCCATAAAATAAGTGTCAAACGTCACATTTCGCGTTATCTGGGAAAACTCTGCAACAGTAAAATGTACCTCCAGTAAGCAAAAGAAGATCAGAAAGTCATATATTAATTTTTCAAATAATAACGCATTTTTTATGACAAGAATTGTTGTCCCTGCGACCCGAAACGCCCTGATCGCCGGTACCCAATCTGCCAATCCAAAACCATTGGAGTTCCGAGTAATACAGATATGAAATAAATTCCCAAAGTGGGTTGACTGATCAAGTAAGTATATAGGCAACAAGAGCCTCAAGAGACCCTAATGTTTCTGATGTCCAATAAGATAAAGACTGTATCAATCAATCATGGGTGAAGCTATGTGTGGGTAGCAAAGAAAAAAGATGTGAAAATGTGGAGCACGATTTTATTTTAGTGGTAGGGAGACGTAAACCATGGATACTCGAATCCAAAATCCGACACTTTACTTACTAGGCTACGTGAGGATGCCTTTTTCAAGGCCAGGTGGTTATAGCGCTCGACTCGCAACCCGAGGGTTGCAGACTCGAATCCTCATCACCGAACATGCTCGACCTTTCAGCCGTGGGGGCGTTAAGAACCGGTGTTGGATTTCCCGCGGTGGACACAACAGATAACCCAATGAGACTCTGCTCTAAAACAAACAAAGACACTGATGAAATTGATGAAAAACTCAAAGTCAGGTAAATAATTTAAATGTTATTGAGGCTATAATTATAGATTTTAATTTTAGGTATTTATAATGGGAAATTAAATTCTACTTTTTTTCAGTTTTTATTAATGAATATTTAAGCAATATTCCTCATCCTGAACGGTAACTAGTTGGTGGTGGGTGGTGTTGACAAGATAATTATGTAAAAATTTTTTGTTATATATGTACGAGCCAAGAAATATATGGCCGCACCAGCAAAACTGTAACAAAACAATGTAAAATTCTATAAAATACTAATAT